AACCCATGGAGAGGTCCATGTAGCAACAAACAGAGACCTCCTGCCTGCAGCCATGCATCTGAGAAGGCGTCCTCTTGCCTGCAGCTGAGAGTCTGAGCAAGGAAGGGCGTCCTCTAGCCCAGGTCACAGCTGTGGATGGCGGTAGCCTTGGCTGTACCCTCAGGAGAGGTCCTGCATCTGAGCCACCCAGCTAGCCTGCTCCTGAATTCTGGATCCACTGAAACAGTTACATAACTCTGTTACTTCAAGCTGCTGTTTCCAGGCAAACTGTCACACAGCAATAGATAACCCCACACGTATGGTATCACTCCAGGAACTGTCCTCTCTCTGACATCAACACTCTTTCCTTTTTCTGAAGGATTTCCAGTAACATGCAGACATGCTGGGATTTCTCCTAAACAAAACCATCTCTTGATCTCACATGTCCTATTTTCTGTTCCCTTATATCCAAAAACTCCTACCAAGTGCTGTCTACCATCCCTCCTTCCAATTCCCTTTCCCTAGTCCTGTCCTCAGCTACTCCAGTGAGTCCTTCCAGCCCTGAAACAGCTCTTGCCAACGGAGAATAGCCCCTCGGGATTAAATCCAAAGTTCCACCTAACTATTCATTTAATACAAACTTATTAGATAGCAACTAGGTGCCAGGCACGGTGGCACATGTTGTATGTACAGCAGTGAACAAAATGAAGCAGACCAAAAATAAAAAATATCCCTATTTTTACAGAGTTGCATTCTGGTATTGGATGGAGGGCAAACAATAAACAAACAAAGCACTATGAGTATTTATGGATAAAATAATATGATATCTGGGATCAATATATTTCAAAGTAATGGGGCCAATGGATAGGAGTAACCACGAAACAAGAGAAGTTTTATTGTTACTTGCTGAAGCAGGTGATGGGTACATGGAAGCTCATTAAGCTGTTTTCTACTTTGGTGTACGTTTGAAATTTTCCATAATAAAGAGTCTTTTACAAGCACACTGTACTGGGTATCTGCTGCAGTAAAGGCATGGGTAGTGTGGGGGGCAGGGGCATGACTGTTTTACATAGGGTAGCTGTGCCCTGAAGTGTGACAGACATGCCAATGGCCCGCCGAGGAAGAGCACGCCAAGCAGAGGAAAGGCATCTGCAAAGGCTCCAGCTAAAGAGAATGACTGGAGTGTTCTAGAAGCTGCAAGGTCAGTGCAATGATGATGAGTGGAGGACACTGCAGAAGGGGTCAGGTCACACTGTGCCTTGGAGGCTGGGAGGGCTTTGGCTTTTATGGAGAGACTAAGCCACTAGAGGGTTTCTAAGGAAGGGAGCTGATCTGAATTAGATTTTAAATAAGCTTCCTCTGGTCAGATGGGATTTCTCATTACTTCCTCACCCTACACTCGCTTTGCTGGGGTCAGCCCTATCAGCCAGTGATAACTCTATCCCTGCCTTTACTGAGGCCAAATGCCTCAAGGCCATGTCCAGCTCCTCTCCTTCATCCTCCACAGCCAGGCCAGCAGCAGATTCCTCACCCGAAGTGCCATGGTTCCCCTGCCCATGACCTGGTACAGGCTGCTCTGCTCATAGCCGCTGGAGAGTACTTACTGTGGGTCTTCCATGAGATGAAAACCCATACATTTGTCTTAGGAACTTTTTAATAATTATAGTTGCAAGGCATAATAACACACTCCATAAATGGTACTGAAAAGAACATCAAGAACAGCCCAACTATGTTACAAAATATTTGCTTGTTTTGACAAAATGGTGGATCCTACAGATAAAGCCAAAACTATATCCTAACTAGAACACTGAAATTCTCTCAAATTCCATATGCAAAAAAAGGCAACAAATAACTGAAATGACATTTAGATTGCTTTGCTACAATTGGGTGTTTCATACAATTACTATGCCCATTTAAAAAAAGAAGTTGGGTTACAGGGTGCCTAGGTGGCTCAGTCGGTTAAGCGTCTGACTTGATTTCGGCTCAGATCATGATCTCAGGGTCCTGGGATCTAGCCCTGTCTTGGGCTCTGCACTCAGTAAGGAGTCTGCTTGAGTATTCTCTCCCCTTTCCCCCACCCCTCCTCCCACTCACACACGCTCTCTCTCTAAAATATTTTGTCAGAAGCGATCACTTTTCTCTCTGTAGCATTCCAGTTGTTCTCTCTTTACATCTCAGGTTGCATTCATAGGTTTCCAGACGCTTTGAAAGTTATCTAGGTAAGTTTGGGGGACCAGATGATTCAAGGACCCCCTACTTTTCCACCATCTTGTCTCCCCAATAAATTAATCTTTAAAAAAAGAAGAAAAAAGAAGTCGCTCTATACTTACTATAGATGTGACTCTTTAGAAAGTTCTTTCTGTGGATTTTTTGGCATAACCATCAATAGAGAAAGAGTTAGCTTATGGATCAGCCATGTAATAAAATACTCTGAGGTTTATACAAAAGAATGAAGTACATCTCTCTCTGTATGTCCATACTTGAGAAAATTAGTTATAAAAACCAAGATGATGGGATCCCTGGGTGGCGCAGTGGTTTGGCGCCTGCCTTTGGCCCAGGGCGCGATCCTGGAGACCCAGGATCGAATCCCATATCGGGCTCCCGGTGCATGGAGCCTGCTTCTCCCTCTGCCTGTGTCTCTGCCTCTCTCTCTCTGTGACTATCATAAATAAAAATAAAAATTAAAAAAAAAAAAAGAATCTGTTTCTCTCTCTTTAAAAAAAAAAAAAAAAAAAAAAAACCAAGATGAAGAACAGCATAAATAGTATGGTCCCACTGCATTACTAAAACAAATGGGTATATAGTTGTTTATAAAAACAGAAAAATATTTAAATAAATATAGCTCACACTATCAGGAGTTATTTCAGTGGGATTAGATGGGGGTAATTTATTACAATGGGTATAGGTGACTTTGATAAAATAATTCTTTTCTAATAAGAGTTTTTAATTGAAGTATAACATGCATACAGAGAGGTATGGAAGCCATGAGAGCAGCTTGCCATACAGGGTAAGGTGCAGAACCAACCAGAGCCCAGATGTCCTACTGTGCCCCCAGCTACTTTCCCTGCTCACCACCCTGACTGCTGAAAACAACTTCCTTTTATTTATTTATTAAACACTTGGACATTTTATTTTCATTTTAAAAAAGATTTTATTTATTTATTTATTCGAGAGAGAGAATAGAAAGGCAGAGAGAGAAGGAGAAGCACACTCCCCACTGAGTGGGGAGCTCAATGTGGGGCTTGATCCTGGGACCCCCAGGATCATGACCTGAGCTGAAGGCAGATGCTTGACCAACTGAGCCACCCAGGTGCCGCCACAATTTTCTTTTAAATAGTTGTTAAAAAATATATTTAGGCATCAGGCCAGGGATATTAGAGAATGAGGGGGATCTGGAGCACGACTGGGGGAGAAGCCATCATTCATTCAGCAGCCCCCAGGATGGTCCTGTTGTGAAAGCCAAGCCCCTACTCTTTAGGCTGGGCCTGGCCCATGACTGCCTGCGTGTACCTTCTGCGTGTACCGTTACAAAAACTACCGAATATGAAACTTGTGTTTTGGAGGAAGGTGAGGATTGTACCATGTACTTAAAGAATCTCAACCCTGCAGAGGTGGGGCTGCTACAAGGCACTGAGGAGGGAGCCCAGGTGCCTGGAGCAGGTTATCTGCAACTCTGTTTGTAAAGTTTCCCTGACCGTCCATCACAGATTCAGCTCAGATCCTCCACCTCCCTTTCAGGAATCCCCCAGAACAAAAGCTGGGGGGGCACCACTGCCCTGAAAGAACCTCAGTATTAAGATATCTGTTAGGTTCAGAGGGGTGTGTGCCAAGGTGACGGAAGGGTGGCAGCTGAGAGACAAGCTGTACCGAGTACTCGTGAGCCTCGTGCTGTGCTCCATGAGTACCCAACACAAGTACCTCATCTCATCCTCACGAAAATGAAGTACTGGGCTCACGTCAGAGGAGGAGCTGAGACTCAGGGAGGGTAAACAAACAGTCAAGGCTCTGAAGGGGTGGGCAGCAGGGCTGGGGCTGAACACTGGGATAGGCTGGTTCCACTGCCCTTGGCCCGACGATGCCGATGCCCATCTTCGAAACACCCTGGCTAACCGAGCACACGATTGTGCCCCACTAGCCCGCGGCACTGCGTCTGGGGGTTAATACCATGGCATACAGGCTCTCCACTCTGCAGTAAGGACCCCCCCCAGGAGGAGGGAAAGGAAAAGAGAGGCGGGGAAGGTCGGGAGGAGGTGGGGCAGACCCTGGCCCCCGGCTACAGGTCTGCAGCGCAACCACTCACCCCTGGGAAAAAACTGCAGCAGGTGGCGGCCTTCTGTGACTTCTGAAGTTCCCCTCTCTAGGAACCCATCAAGGTGGGAAACAAGGAAGAGGAAGAGCAGAGAAGCTGAGGCCCCTCCTTTGGGAAGAGGGAGCTCATCAAAGGAGTGTCCTCCAGGGGTAGGAAGCCAAAAGAGCAGAGCAGGTGGTACAGGCATGGAAACAGGTGGGAAACAGGTGGCCCAGGTAACAACACTCCTTCCTGCGATGGTGCCTGTCCACACACACACACACACACACACACACACACACGTCAAACACACACACCTTTTTTCTAGAAGCAGACTGCACTTCTTAGGCCTTAGAAGTAGACATTTGTCTGTACAGAAGCGACAGAGATATGACAGGGACGGGATAGGAAAGACAACAAGGAAAGAGAGGAGAGACCAAGGGCTAAGGAACAACGTTGCCATAGGACAAGAAGAGGGGGAGACAGACCTGCCTAAGTCTGGGGCCCTGGACCCAGGTGTCCCTGAGGCCAGTTAGACATCCTGCAGCCTGGTTCTGCTAGCACATTCTGCCTTTGTGCTTATGCATTCTCAGTCAGATTCCATCATGTAAAGGCTAAAGAGCCCCTGTTCCAGTTGTACATAAAGAAAACACACATTAATACCTGAAAAACCAGAGTAACTAAATTCAGTTGTCAAATTAATTCAAAGAATGGATCTTTCTCAACGAAACTATTCAAATGAAAAGTATTTATTTTTATAAATGTTTTTCTCCAGCCAGTTTATCTCAAATTGCACTTAAGAAACAGAAAAAAAAAAAAATCTGTAATTAATCCTGTGAAAAGTTAAAAGAAAAACCAGTAGCTTCCATTTCTGGTTTTAGGTTATTATCATTAAATTATATTCTCTTGGTATAAAAATATTTTTCAAAAAGTCCCAAACATGTCAACAAGCAACAAACCTACTACCCACGTGTAACTGTGAACATGGCCAACACCGACAGATGTTGAAACAGGAAAGAGGTTTCTGGGGGGTCAACAGTTAAGAAGCAGTAGATGCCACAAGGAAAAAAGTCCCCAGGACACGGTCAATCTTAACTTGCAGCTCAGGACAACCTGCCATTTCATGGTACACGTTTCACAATATTGACAAACAACAATCTGTTCTACATGATTGAAACCAGAGGAAAGCAGACAGTGTTTATGGGGAACAACTTACGAGAAGCGCCCGGGGGTGATGCGCTGCCCAGGGCAGGGAAGGGGGCAGCGTCCAAGCCCAACACAGAAGGCACCGGGACGAGCTGCCGAATGTTACCTCACACAGAGACCAAGAATTTATGTGAACTTTTAAAGTGCGTTCCTGTGTGTTTAACGTGCTCCAACAATGACCTCCCAAATTGCACGCAGGGTTGTTTCCAGATTCAATGAAACGGCCGTCCGCGTCTGTGTCGGGACTTGAGGTGACTGGCTGAGCGACGGAGTGTTTTCCTTTCTTGTCGGTGCAGCTTCTCAGCCTCCTGTTGCTTCTTCTGCTGTTCGGACTACAGGAGAAAATTACATGAGAGAGAAAGAGAAAGAAAACCCCAACGTCCCCTGTTGTAAGCATCAGAATCCCACGGCACAGCCCAGTTGCAGGGGCCACGCCGGCCGGCCCTGGACTCTGCTCCCACAATGCTGTCCTGTTCACAAGCCAGAGCCATTCATCTACTTACACTGCCCCAAACGCAAGACAAATATTGAACACGTACTAAAGGTGTACTATAACCCACCACGATTAAGTATCCTTCACCAGGACTGGTCCCAAAGAATTTTTGGCTGTTTCCAAAAAGTCCAACTCCCCTCAGAAGGCAGAGATCTGCTGCCATTAACCACTGACAAGGGCTCAGCAGACAAGTGGCCTGCAAGTCCCTGGCTGGAGTGAGCGCACAGGTTTACAGGCTGACGGCTCCAAGGGCATGTCACCTGGGGTGACACCCGTGCTGGCAGAGTGGAGGGGCCCCCTCCCCCAATTAGGCCCGTGGCTGCCAGCAGCAGTTCTCGGAGAGAAGAGAGCCAATGCAGAACCCACGATGGAGGTCAGAGCCGTATGATTTTAAAATCACGTTTGATGGCTCTGAGGGTACCAACCCTTGAATGCAAAACTCAAAAAAATATCCTTAGCCGGTGGAATGGCACAAAAGGTAAACCAAGAGAGCACTGTTGGGGCATAGGTTTTAAAAGTTGAAAAGCAATGCCTTATAGACACCTATGAGGCTTGCTTCACACCGGTCTGCATTATTCTGTGCACCTAAAAATATTCCTTTGTTATTTTGCTCTTGAAGGAGAAGTCTGTATTTGCGGCCAGGGGGTATTACTCAATATTTTAAAATCAAAGAGTTGAGAGGTAAGGGAGTAGTGGGGAAGGAGAGCAATCTGTAAGACCCAGAACCAACGAGTCCCCTACTCCAGGAGCTCTGAAAATGAGAACAAATAAATCCTTAAGTTCTTTTTCTGATGACTATTACTCTTCAAGAGCCCCACTAAATCCTGCCCTTGTACATCCCTCCCCAGCACAACACCCCTTCCTCTGCTCGGCTCCACCTCTGCTCCTGCTGCACTGTCGCTCTGGGCCCCTTCAGCCCACTCCTCAGGCAACAGCCACAGTGAGTTTTTAGAAATATAAAGGCTCAGTCTTCTGCTAAGTAACACTCTTCAACAGCTTTCCACGGTTCTACTGAGAATGAAGGATAAACACTGGCTGTGGCCCACTCACAAGGCCCTCCAGGACTGAGCTCCGCATAGTTTCTGCTCTATCTGATGCCGCTCTTTCCCTCTGATCTCGTTTTACACACATAGGCTCTTATTCACATCCTCGAGTGAATAGCAGTGGAGGGGTTCCTCCCTCCTCAAGCAGGAACTTCGCCTTGGTGGTACCCTGTGCCTGGCACCCTGCTTGACCCCTCAGAGATTCACTTGACTTAAAGATGCAACCCACACATCACCTACCCTTCCCTAGCCCCTCTGTCCAGGCCAGGCCCCACCTGACACTCTCACGGCACCATGTCCCCTGCTGGAGCACCTGCCACCACTCCACTGACATAACTGGGTGTGTCCTCCTTTCAACAGACTGAGAATTGTGGCAGCTAGGACCCCATCGGTCTTGTTTTGTGTGTCCTCACACACACCACAGAACAGATATCTGACACGCACTTGTTAATGGACTACTCGACAAACCTGGAGGAACCCACATACCGAACCCACATACCGGCACATCATACAATGGTAACAAGACCCCTGTAAGATCAACAAACACTGGTTACTCCATATTTAGTTTCTTCATGTTAAAAAGTATCCCCAGAAGCATTTCTTGTCCAAATGATCTCAGAACATGATATACCAAATAAAGATAAAACAGGGTGCGCAGGCGCTTCTAGGTTGGGGGCTCCTCTGCACCTTCGGCGTGGACATCAGTCCTAGGCATTTCCCCACCGGCCTGGTGCAGAGCAATCTCCCGGGAGCACTGCTCCCTCTCCAGCACCATGTTTTTGCAGAGCCCTCCCTGCCAGGCCTTCCCCACAATGGCAGGAGCCTCCAGAGGAGCCTGTAAGCAGCAGCGACTGTCCTGCAGACAAAGCTCCACTCAGAAAGGAACACTCGCCCTTCTCTCTCTGGAAGGCTGTGTTGGATGATGTCAGCACCAATCCCGCATGACCGGTGGGCCAGATGCTCATCTTCCAAGTTTCCTTTCCTTCTGCTTCTGAGTCCTGCTGTGGCTGCTGGCTCACCATCACCAGCAGGCTGGACCAGAGAAGTAAGGGATGCAGACATGTGCAAGCCCCCATGCCTTATTAGCAGCAGCCTGGTCAACAGTCTGATGACAAACTGCAGTTATAGGAAATCTGAAAACCGGACCTGGGACCTAATCCTAGTTTTGCCACTACACAACTGGAAATAATACTAAAGCACAAGCTTTCCCCTTATATTTTATTCATGTATTAGAAAGTATGTGTGAGGGGTGCCTGGCTGGTTCAGTCAATGGGGCATGTGACCCTTGACCGCAGTGATTTGAGTTGAAGCCCCACATTGGGTACAGAGTTTACTTAAAAAAAGGAAAGTATATATGAAAATCCTGGGGAAACTTGAGAGTTTACCTAAATATATCACACATCTAATATCAAAGAAGACTTAGTACTACATAAATTCCTAATTATTCCTAGGTAAAAGTGAGATTTAATAGTTAAAATTTTGTTACTCTAATGATACAAACAGGCAAAATCAAACATTAATTGATAAATTTCCCCAAATTGTTTCATAGCCTCTGCCTGACTCAACCCTTAGTACTTCTTTGGTTTTTAGCAAAAAATAATAATAATTTCAGAGGCATCTTATTTTCATTTTACCACAAATTATATAAGCCCTAGATTGTCAGGACTTTCACTTTACAAGGCCGCACCTCAGGTGGCCCAATGACCCAGAAACCACACTGACTGCTAGCTTCACACCAACAGTGCCAACTCCTAATCACTCAGGTCCCGCCTCCCTCAGGACACCAGAAGCCAGCCTGGCTCTGCCTCGGGCTCGAGCTCTGCCCCTGCCTCGAGCTCAGGCTCTGGCTCTGGCTCTGCCTCAGGCTCTGGCTCTGCCTCGGCCGAGCTGTGTGCTCACTCCCAACCCAGGAAGAGCTCTGGCTGCAGAAAAAGTGCTAGAACAGGTACATGGCTTCCTCAATAGGGGAAAAGCTTGGGAAGGCTGTGCTGAAGTCAGACACACTACACGGCACTACTGGAAGCCTATTTTCCTTCCTTGAATTAACAAAATCACATTAAAAAACTTACCCTCTTTAACGTGAACGTCAACTGTTTGCTGCCAACTGTGGTGTCTGATACGCTCAATGTGCCATTTTTTGCTTCAAGTTTCAAACGATCTTCAAGGGTTTTACTATAGGAGAATGAAGAGAATGACACATTAATTAGCATCATGTTTTGATTTAGCATTTGAAACAAGTTTTAATTAGAATGGATCACACGAAGGAAATCTGTTACACTTGTGGGAAAGACAGAACATGGCATTCACTGAACATAATCGAGGAAAGAATCAGGGGCAGACAGTCATTGCTCATGCTCAATAGATACAAGCAAAAAGAGCAGCTGCCAAAACACCCGCTAATTTAGCATTTTAAGTGGTGGTTCCAAATATATTTTCACTGGTTGCTACTTATCTTACTAAATCACATTTCTGAAGCCAACATGCAAGGAGCGATATTTCTGAAGCCTATAATTTACTGTAATGGTCAGTGGCACATACGCTTCTGAAGCATTTCATACTTAAACCACACACGAGGCAGGCGGCGGAGTGCTTCACGCTTTTGCACCTCAGGCACGTCTCCAAGGGAGCGAACACAGATCCTCTTCCAGGTGAAGCCATGGAGAAGTGCCATGCGAGTCCAGTGGATCCCTGAGCTACCCTCACCACCCACAGCATGAACAATTTGAAACATGAGTTCATCTGCCTATAGACAGTGAGCAAAAGAACGGCGGGTAAATTCTATCTGGTTCGGTCTGCTCACTCACTGCTACTAGGTGCCTTTTCCTTCCAAATTTTTCCCTGAATTACTCTTTCCATATACTTTACCCCAACTGTTTCATTTCGTTCCTTGCTCATGTCTCCCAGACTTTTCTAGGGTCTCTCTGTATAATCTGTGTTCTGCAATCCTGTCCTCGGCACCATTACTGCCACCCTACCTCGGCTTTATAATCGAGACGTTCACTCTGTCTCGTACATATAACACTTCGTGGCATGTCGCAATAATACTGTTTTACTATAAAATCGAAACAGTGGTCCCTTCTGTGAACTGAGTTTGGAGGGAAAAACTGGAATTAAGCTTCAAGACAAAGACTTGCAGTAAGTTTTCACTTTGGCTCTAACGCTCAGAGATGCAGCCAAAGCAGCAACCTCCCTACCCGCACCCGTGATGAAAACAGGAGGAGAGGGTAGAGGAAGCAAGAGGGAAGGAATACGGTTCTCTTTTCTTTCCTGTTCCCTCTTCCAAAAAAGTCAACGTGCTTCCCTTTCCAGTCCTCCTTGTACCAACCTAAGTTGAATGTACCCCTTTTAAGTTAATAGTAAAAAACCGGACTGATTTTAAAAAGTAGCTGAATTGGGCGATGGGTTTTCTTTTGCCTGAAATACGATCATCGTAACTAATTACTGAGCAGAATGCTGCTTCTAAATGGCCCGCAAGATAAAGTGATGCTCCTTTGAAATTCCGCAGGAAATGTTTGATGTACGCACCATGAGAGATTTATTTCCAGTTTATGACTAGTATAACGTACTGAACATGCCTTCTTTATATAACTTGAGACGTGAAGTGGTTAGCATAAAAGTGGCACTCTTTTCTAAGCAATAATGTTATTAAGAAGCACTTTTAAAGTACTTTTCATCTTCAAAGTGCTTTACAGACGAACTAATTAATCCTTTCAACATCCCTGAGACACAAGTATTTATCCTTTATAGATGGCAAGAAGGGAGGTGAGGCGCTAAATGACTCGCCCCAGGCCACAGGAGGACTCAAGTCTAAAACCAGAATTCTGATTTAAGAATTTCTGGTTTCCAGGAGTGTGTCAGACCAAACCTGATTTATAAAGTTTTGTGTAGGAAATGTTCCACAAAGTCTTCCAAGTGACAAGCTTCCACATGACTGAATGAAACAAAGATCTAGTTTAGTTTTTTTTTTTTTTAAACAAGAACTCAAAGATGAAGTGTAAAGGGACTCCGGTGTGGATGTGATTGTGTCAGCCTAAGCAAATTCCTCAGCCTGTTCGTGCCATTTCTGTTCTTTCCCTTCATGGCTGCTGAAGGGTGGCACACAGCAAACACTAATTTGGGAAGAAAGTCACTTTTCAAGTAAATTGTGGGCAATTACTATGCTTTTAAGAATGACCTTATTTCCTCCATGACAGGGTACATAAATTCTGGTTTTCTCTCAATGTACTTTCGATGTGTACTTGTAAAAACTTGTTCTGTCTGGACTACTTGGAAAGACAAGCTGAGTTTTAGAACGAGCCATGGCAAAAGATCAGACACAGGCACTGAGCGTGGAGATTTCTACATTAAAGCAAGTTCCACTTCCCGCCCTTTGAAAGTCAGTTTACGGTATGTGGCTGCTAACCAGCAGTTCTAAGCCAGCTACTAGAGAATGAATTCAGTCGGAGATGATTTAAGACGCAAATACCTGAAAACTGTCTACTGCAACAGAGGAACAAAATGCAGAAATCCCTAAATAAGGTGAAGAATTTTAGGGGAAAAAAATGCCACTGTCACATGATGAATAGCCCGTCACCAATCTGTGGAGATGGCCAAGAAGACAGATGTGGGCTTCCAACCTTTGTCAACCTTCTAAAGGCTGAAAGGATGGAATGATTTAGCACAGGACAACGGACAGGGCTTTGGCGGGGAGAATAGGAATTCTCGGCTAGGTGACCTTTAAACGAGGGTGGGCAGCAAATACAAGGGGAAACATCAAATTAGATAGATACTTATTATATGCCTCAGGAAGTAATGCTCAACTTGAGTTTTTAAAAATCACTCTGTGTGGAGGCATGTGCGTTAGTACAGCATTCACAGGACTTAACTCAAAAGAAAGGACTCGCTCCTTCACAGTCTATACTCTGAAGGGGAATAAGCAGGCGGTAGAGAAACGGAATCTACAGATAAACGGAAAATGTTAAATACTCTGTTTAGAGCCAACTAACTTTGAAAAATATTTACAGATCACTGAAAACTCCATCTCCATGCTTTCTGTTTACATGAGTTCCTCAAAGCCCATCTCAGGTGATGTGAACTGAAGCAACCAGGATACCTGGATACCTCATCTAGCAGCTCTGTTCATATTTAAAGATTCGTAATATCCACTGTTGTTGCAAGTCAGAGCTCAAAGCCTTTCTCCAGGGCGATGCGGCCATATCTATCACAGACCCCTTTTGATCCAGCAAGTTCCATGCCTAGGGTAGTTCAGTCTATAGGAATCCCTGCACATGAGCACATATTTATCACTGTGGAAAGGGGTAAGAGGAAAACAAGAAACAATGTAAATATCTCAAATCAGAGAATGTTACGTATGTTATGGCCCATCCACCTTATGAGCCGTTTTATGCGTTACTGGGAGTTTTATGCGTTACTGAGAGGCCTACACGTACCAGAAGGAAAAATGTTCCAACTCATTGCTACATGAAAAGAAGTTCATCAGTAATAGGATCAGTAAGGCCCCTTCACATCTAGAACAGAGTAGCTAATCTGTACACGTGCAAACATGCGCCCACAGGAGTGACTGGATTCTAGAAAGGCACACACAGCAGAGACCTCAGGGAGGGAGTGAGGGGGTAAAAGGGAAACTTTCACCTTTTATTCCATATTCTTAAGTATTATAATGAAAATATGCTTATACATCACCTGAGTGCATATTAACTTGAGTAATAAGAGATTATTTTTTTTCTAAGTGCAACTTTGGAATTAAACTGCTTTCAAGATTAAATTAAAAAATGCTTCTATTAAAAAAATGCTTCTATTAAAAGAAGACTGTTCCTTCAGCTCTCATCCACTGGCAGTGAGGAAAATTAGCTGAAGAGTAAAAACTGGCCCTGGTTCATCCACAAGCAGATAAAACTGCGTGAAAAGTGGCCTCCCATGAGCTACTAAAACCACCTGATGAAGAAGGCGAATTCCTCCAAGGTAGGAAATGTCTCTGAAATCTCTGCATTTCCAAGACAGGCCACAGGCTAGGTGCTTCCAAGAATGCCTTCCCACTGACGGGCCGCCTGGCAGGGAGAGGACAGGAGGCACCCCCACTCTGAGGTGCAGGAAGCTGTGTTCTAGACCTCTCCTCTGGGCTCACCGGCACAACCCGGCCAGCACCTACATTAGGCCCTGTGGACCCGCCTGCCTCCACTCCCATAACTGGACAGGCCAATGTGCCTGGAATCCCGACAGGCCGGCAGCATGAACTTCCCTGCTTTCCACCTGCAAACGCAATTATTCCCACCCATCCTGACGGCCTCCCCTTGGTCTCTGAGGAGGTAACCCCTGTCCTTCTGAGGCTGTCTCCTTGGCCCGTGCCCTGGCCCATCCCCTCCTGACTGCTTACTGAACTCAGCTCTGCCAACTGACTTTGGTGTCTCAAGTCACTGTCTGCTGCCACGGGTAATCCTGCTCTGCCCACAAACACATTCTATCTCTAATAGCCGAAGAAACTTTCCCCATCAAGTTATTGGCTTTGACTTCTTCCTTTTTCTGCCAAACTTCTTGGAAGAATCATCTACATTAATTGCTCACAATATTTATTATCTCTATTCATTCATCAGTCCATGGCAATCCGACATTTGGGCTGGTGCCTGAGAAGCTGGTCCCAGCAAGACAATCTTCGTAATGGCTTTCCTCTGTTCAGGGAACTCCCAGCCCCCTGCACATTTGTGCCACACCCTCTGTGCCATTTTCTTCCTGCTTGGCTCCTTCCAGCTTACATCTCTGAAAACTCCTCAGTGATCTTTACTAGCTACCTTCCCCTTTGCTTGTCCAAGTTGGGATTGTTAGCATGTGGCTGTCAGTATTATCAGTGACAGCTCTAAAACTACCTGTAGTACTTTGTGTGCTGTTTATTTTCCTAAAGAGAGGCACATGGTTTTTATCACAGACTCAAGAAAAAAATACCTGTTGCTCCCAAGGGGCTCCACTCTTCACCCTCAATGCATCCTACACAGAGTCGATCTTCCTCACCCTGTGGTCTCAATCACACAGGGAAAGCTGCTTTCTCAGCGCTGTATCTCTAATCCAGCCCCTGGGTCTCCGTTTCTCTACTGAACATCACCAAGAAGACACTTAATGTGCTGATAGCCAGCTTAGTACTTGTGGCCTTAAACCTGGTTTTCATTCTGTATTCTTGCTCTTGATGGCAACACTGCCAGACAGTTCAACATCATCCAACTACCTCTTTCTCCTTCGCTATTACATTAGTAACTGAACAATGTTGTGATGTATGTCCATTTTCCTTTCCTATTCTTAGACAGTCTTGTGGATAGGGATCCCTGGGTGGCGCAGCGGTTTAGCGCCTGCCTTTGGCCCAGGGTGCGATCCTGGAGCCCCGGGATCGAATCCCACGTTGGGCTCCCAGTACATGGAGCCTGCTTCTCCCTCTGCCTATGTCTCTGCCTCTCTCTCTCTCTCTCATAAATAAATAAAAATAAAAATAAAATAAAAAAATAAAACTTAAAAAAAAAAAAAAAGACAGTCTTGTGGATAATTTGGGCCTAGGATGGCCTGGTCGTCTCTTTTATCACTTTTGACTGGGACTACTGAATAGTCTGTTAGCTGACCTTAGGAGCCCCTTTAGAGTTTTCTAAAACTGAGATATTTCATTATGAGTTTCTGGGAAAGAGGGACTTCTTGTACCTACAAGTTTTTATTTTTATCTTCCACAACCAAGATGAACTGCTTTTATTCACAAATCATTTTATGATTTGGGGAAGGAGCTGGAAACAGATTTGCTCACGGGAACCTCAGTGTGACAACCTTCCCTGGCTTAGCAATGCTTGGGCCAGGGCCTGCCCACTGCTCTCTGGTTATTCTATGCCCTCCTACACCAAACCATGCTTCCCTCGGCTTTCACACAGTGCTCCTTTGTTCACATGTCACTCTGCCTGGCATGCCATCTTCCCACCCTGCCTTGGGTGCTCATCTTTTTGTCTTTTGTCTACAGCCAGTTTCAGTATGACCTCTTCTAAGGACTTCCTTAAATCTCTTCCTTTCTTATGCACTTTCTACATGGCCCTTTTTAGCTCCAGACTATTAGCTAGAATGTGAAGGCTACAGGCCTGTGGGCTGTGCCTTCTCTTTCCATCCCCTGGCTCTGGACAGCACTTTGTTCACACTAGGCAGACACTCAACAAATGTCTCACTGACGAATGGGTGGCTGGAGAGGCTGACAAGTGGGTGAATAAACTCACAAAGCACAACATCCTTAAGGTCTATAACTATGTGTCGACAGACATACGTTTTTGTCTGAATTCATGTTAGCATGCCAAGCAAAGAAGAGGACTCACTCAAGTACTGAGTTAGGATTCATAATTCACTTTTCCCTTTACAGAAAAAGTCTTAAAGTTGGGCAAGTCCAAGTAAACATTTAAAATGTAATACACTCAGTTTTGATGCTGTGTTTTATTGACTGCCTTGTGGTAACTCACAGAATAAGCAGAAGGTGTCACTTTGGTTCTCTGAAGGATAATGCTTCAATGCTTCATTAAATAATATAAAAATATTGCAAGTTCAGGATCTGCCAAAATAATCCAGTCAAGACTAGAACTCAATGAGCAGTTTGTGCCAAAACGCCAGCAAACTGCAGGCTGTTCATACCAAAGGGTTATTACTTCAAGAACCAGGACTCTTCTTTTAAGCTCATGAAGTATTATCACTTATATAGTTCCTTTCCTCAAAAAAAAAAAAAAAAAAAGTTTAACTTAGTAAAAATTTTTAATTGTAGTATATTAACATGGTTATTATTTATCCATTAAGTACTAAATTTCCATCCCTTTTGTTTCTCTTATTAACGTCCTACTAAAACCCACAGGCAGAACAAAAATGTCAGAAAGTTTAGTCATGCCTCCTCCTCCCAAATCACCGTGTTACCATGCTTACACTAAAGACAACTGTTCCTAGATTTTCCTGGCCAGTGGGTTGGGAGTAAATGGGTTCTTTCTCATTTTTCTTTCAGTTACCCTTGAAAGGGTAACTTCCTGAGTTGCCTGTCATGTAGCCAAGGCACTGGAGATTCACAGTTCCACAAAAATGTATCATGTGCCTACTTGGGTCTACCCAGTACTGATTCAGGAGCCAGTAGTCAAGTAAATAAAGCCAGACAAAACCAGCAGATAATCTAACAAAGAATCTCACTCCACAGAATCAGAATACTACAAACATCTAGTCTTCTCTCTGTTTCTGAGTAGGACTCCAAGTTAAATTTCCAAGACCAGCAGGAACATGAAAAGTGAGACTTGCACACACTGCTGGTGGGAAAGTAAAACGGAGCAGCCTCTTTGAAAAAGTTTGGCAGCTTCTCAAAAGGTTAGGCATAATGCTACCATATGACCAGCCATTCCACTCCTAAGTACATAGCCAGGAGAAATGAAAACACGTCCATGTAAAATCTTATACACAAATGTTCGTAACAACATTATTCATAATAACTGAAATGTGGAGCAACCCAAATGTCCATCAACTGGTGAACAGATGAAGGGAACATGGTTTATCCACACACCAGAATACTATTTGGCAATAAAAACGAATGAAGTACTAACAGATGCTACAGCACGGACGAACATTGAAGGCATTACGCTAAGTAACAGAAGCCGGACAAATGCCACACGGTGTGTAGTTCCATTTATATGAAATGGCGGAACAGGCAAACCCATAGAGATAGAAGATGATTTGTGGTTGTCTGGGGACAGGATGGGCTGGGGGCAGGTGGGAGCAAATGATAATGGGGCTTCGTCTGGAAGATGAAAATGTTTCAAAGTTAACTGTGGTAATAGTTGCACAACTCTGTTAATATACTAGAAACTTACACTTTAAGTAGGTGAACTGTACGTTATGTGAATTGTATCTCAAGGAAGTTGTTATTATTGAAAGAAAAGTAAGGCCGGTAAAGATACCAACCCAATTACTAGATTCTTCATTCACCAGCAGACCTTTGGTTCTTTAGAACCAGAATTTTGAGATCTCCTGGATTCTAAGTTGAAGGATTTACTTATTATTTGGTGTCCCAGATACTTGCTAGAAGCAGTGAGATCATGAGGACCAGTCATATTTCTTCCATTCCAGAGACAGTTTAGCCTGTCCATCAATGTCCTCTCCACCCTTTTCCCACTTCCTACATCTGAAAAACCAGATTTTCCAAATGGGAAGCAAGCAGCTGGAGAAGTACAGGTACAGAACTGGTACTGCCCCGGACCTCACACCTCATCCATCCCACCCAGCTCCTCCAGACACTCGCGCTCTTCTTTCGAGATTATCTACCATCTATCACATTCTCATCTTGAACATTAACATTCAGCCCAGGAGCTCTCTGAACAGAGACTTACCTAACTTATGGCTTGTACACAATCTGGAACTGAGGACCTAGGCTAGCCTGTTCCTTACTTAGACACCTACAATTGAAACTATCCAAATAATACTATTTTTTTTAAGTTGACTTTTTTATGGTGATAAAATATATTCACCTTGCTGTGCAACCATCACCATCCATTACAAGAACTTTTTCATCTTCCAAACTGAAACTTTGTACCTAGTTATTTTTTTTTAATATTTTATTTATTTATTCATGAGAGACACACGCAGAGAGAGAGGCAGAGACACAGGCAGAGGGAGACGCAGGCTCCATGCAGGGAGCCTGATGTGGGACTTGATCCCAGGTCCCCAGGATCACACCCTGGGCTCAAGGCGGCGCTAAACCACTGAGCCACCCGGGCTGCCCAAGCCACCCAGGCTGCCCATGTACCTAGGTAAGTAGCATCTCCCCATTCCCCCTCCTCCAGCCTGGGTAACCCCCATTCCATTTTCTTTTTCTAGGTTTTTGACTATTCCAGAATACCACTCTTATCCCTCAGTGTTCTTGCAAAAGGCTTAACATTTCTGGCAAATTTTCCAAGTGATCTTTTCAGTCATCAGGTAAGCTGAGATACAGAAAAACATAGTGGAAATTCTAATTAGGAAAAATAACTTTTTGTTAAGAGGCAAAGAATCTGTTGCTGTTCTCAGTTACCACTGTACCGAAAACCATCAATCATAGGGGCACAGAACAAAACAGGTATCTGTAGGTGAGGGAAACAGAGGGAAAGAAGCAAGGACAACACAAGATCATGACCTGTGCAGTGTCTAAGTGTTCTTACCTCTACCAGCCAACACTCACACCCTGGGCCTTCCCCTATGTGAACTCCACCTCAGAAAGTTGTTAAAAGTCATCGTAAGGAAGGCCAGTATATTTCCCCTCAAACCTTGTGGTGCTTCCCTCATGTTAAGTCCAAAGACCAAGATGTCCTCCTCAGGGTCACACGGCCGCGAGGAAGAGCAAGGCCCCGCAACCCGGGAGGCATCAGAGAGGGGGGTTACTCACTTCAGCAGCTTCTGCTTGGCGGCAGAATCTTTGAAGCTCCTGAATTCCTCACCGGCTTTGATCTCATAAAACTGGGGCTTGAGGACCGTCTGCTGGTCCTCCCTGAGCTGCTCCTGCCGCTTCATCTTTTCCTCCTGGTGGAGCAGTCTGCGCTGTTTCCTGACCTCTTCAACCCAGTCTTTCTCATCATCTGAACTCTCAGAACTTTCCGCATCACTTGGTTTTCCTTCCGGCTCTTCCTCCTCTTCCTGAAAATAAAAATAGTAAGCAGCAGCTCCTATCCCCTACCAAACACTGACTTGCTGTTCTCTTGGAAAGAGTCATTGTCCAGAGTACGTGACATCATACGCATCGCAAAATGCTCTTAATTAGGTAAGATCTACTTCTGAGCTGAAGGTCAAATGAATTGTATCTCCAGTGTCCCAAAGGTTTTTCTAACTTACATAGAAAACTTTACATTAAGGAAACAACAGCAGATACAAAATGATAAGGAGTACATTACTTTTTCACGGAGTTCTTGTTGCTCTAAGAGTCTTAGTTTCTTCTTCCTTTTTTCACTTATTTTGGAGACAAGTGGATTCAAAAGCCTAAATTCTTCACTCTCTTCATCTACTTGGAAGTCAGGGTTCTCAAACATAACTTTAAATCGATCATCGGTGAGAATATTAGGAAGGCTCTATGACAAAAAGAATGCAGAATTTCAAGTCAGTATGAACAAAATCTGACCAGAAAGATGGCCTAAAAACATTTCAGTCAATTATAAATGAATAAGCTGCATAAGGCATAACATTAAATCATTAGGAAAATTCTTTAGTACTAGTTTCCAGAACTTTCTATCTGCCTTTGGGTTTTACCTCCTACTCACAGATTCTATTAATCTATTTCACAGACTACATGTATTACATGGCCATTACACATAATGAGCTAAGAATGAACTTTTCTGGCTTAACTCTATGCTTAACATGTTGGAAAGAATTTTCTTCAATTAGCATTTCTCATGAAAAAATACTTTTCAAGGAAACATATAGTTTTGAAACACAGTTTTTTAAGCATAGCTACTATACTGAAATAAAATTAGTGAGTCTTCCAAGTTCATATTCCAAAACTGGGAAAGGAAATACATAGTAATAATAAGGCAAGCATTAACACGGTGAGGAGATGCTGGTGTATGCTTCCTGGCTCTCAGGGAGCATTTGGAAACATAAGGGAAGCTTCCATCTCTTATGCAATGGCCTCATCAATTTTTTCCTGTAGGCCATTTAACTGTTCGTGAAGGATACAGTGTAAACCTTCTGACACAATAAAACTGCTATTGAGACCGATCTGAATAGGTCAGGGCTGACGCTAACTAAATTCCTTTTTGGTTGTACCATTTTGAATAGAAAGCTTTCTAGAATGTATTGTAAACTTAGCTGTTCACATAAACAGATGACAATCTTTTACATTCAGAGTTCTAATGTTTATCTACTACAGGCTTGAAAACCAGAAAAATCAAACTACTTCACAGGGTTTGTAAATTAAACAGCCTGAACACAGGCTGGAAAAGCTAACCTGTCTGTGGTTGTTTGTAAGCAGTGGAGTTCTGAGTATGGTACTTGGAATAGATTTGATAAGGCACAAGACATTAAGGAACTTATGCTATTTATTATTCACATGTCCCTTATGTCTGACAAACCCTTAACCTAAAATTCTAAGACATATGAATACATATTTAAGATACACTAATCAAGCGTTCCCTGATTAAATATCATATCCAAGATAGATTTAGGTTCAAGGAAGACAGAAAGATAGGCAATATAATTTATTTGTTTAAAATTCAGAAAAAAACGTAAGAATACTAGCAGCATATTCTTTTGTAACGTGTTTCTGTATTACTCAATGTGATTATTTAATAAATACAGTAAGAATTAATACAGTTTAGTCTCCTCCTCTCACTTGAGACCTAGCATGGTGTTCCCAGGCAGTTAATGGTGTTCCTCAGAATCCAGAGGACATTCTCCTTAAAGATTTAATTTTGGGGATCCCTGGGTGGCTCAACCGTTGAGCGTCTGCCTTCAGCTCAGGTCGTGATCCTGGGGTCCTGGGATCAAGTCCTGCATAGGGCTCCCTGCAATGGAGCCTACTTCGCCCTCTGCCTGTGTCTCTCCCCCTCTCTCTGTGTATCTCTCATGAATAAATAAAAATCTTTGAAAAAAAACTTCATTTTTTTAGAATAGTTTTAGGTTCACAGCAGAACTTAGGGGCAAGTCTGGCCTGATCAAAGAATGCTTTTTTCAGATTTTGTCATTATCCTTGTGTCGTCAGACTTCACCAGTCCATAGTGGGCTGGAAATGCTCTTCAACTCTGTGTCTGTTTAAACCCATTCATCTGTCCTCTCAGATACTGCATCCCCCAGTGAGCCCTTTTGACATGTCTCTTGTTGGAGTTACTTTTTCCCTCTACACTTAGAGCACTTTCAGCTCTGCTTAGCATCCTTCATACGGTGCCTTGGAGCCTCTAGGCTTTTGTTTGTGTTTTTATTGTTTTCCTTCTCATTAGATCCTGAGCTAGCACCTTGGAATCAGGAACTGGATTCTTACCTATCTTTCTGTCTTCCTTGAACCTAAATCTATCTTGGATATGATATTTAATCAGGGAACGCTTGATTAGTGTATCTTAAATATGTATTCATATGTCTTAGAATTTTAGGTTAAGGGTTTGTCAGACATAAGGGACATGTGAATAATAAATAGCATAAGTTCCTTAATGTCTTGTGCCTTATCAAATCTATTCCAAGTACCATACTCAGAACTCCACTGCTTACAAACAACCACAGACAGGTTAGCTTTTCCAGCCTGTGTTCAGGCTGTTTAATTTACAAACCCTGTGAAGTAGTTTGATTTTTCTGGTTTTCAAGCCTGTAGTAGATAAACATTAGAACTCTGAATGTAAAAGATTGTTACAAGTAACTCTTCTGACCTAGCTATAAAAATATTTCCCTTGGAGATTTCTCCTGGTCTAATTGTTTATTTTTACAACCTATTTAAAAAAAGGAGTTTGATAAGATGTAATTAGTGATGTTCTACAGTAGTTTATATGTGTCTGGCTAGCTATCTACCCTAGAAATACACATGCACATGTTAAACACCTGCCAGGCAAATCTGAAAAACATCTCTCAAAGCATTGTTCCTATCACAGCTCTACTTCAAAGAAGTATTATCTATAGATTTGAGTAGGATGCTTACCATGAATATTCTGTCCCAAGAGAGTAATATACGAGGAATGCTTAACATCTGAAACAAGTCAATTCCTTCAAGGCTACGGTATCTATGAAATGAATGCTATGATGTCTTGGGTGCAGGCTTCTGGGTAAAGATGCTAGTCTGCACACAAGCATCTCCTTCTAACCTCTGCTAAAACCCCACTAAAGCAACAGAATATAGGCTTAAAGACACGAGCCTTAAGAAGAAGGAGGAAAAGACAGAAAAATAGGAGCGGTAAGATTCTGGAAAGAAGCAAGGCAAGGCCTCAAACCCACCCTGTCCCAGGAGAGGCTTCTTCCCTGGAGGGAGAGAGGTGCCTGCTGTGGCAGCAGCACCCTGAGGACAAGGGAAGCACGTGGCACAAAGGGGCTGCACACCACGGGCTGCGGTGACACCCTGCCCCACACCCCACGCCCTCGTGACTAGCTTTCAGAACGTTGGGAGCCAGGCCACTACCCTCCAAACAGGAGCCAGGCCACTACCCTCCAAACAGCCAAGAGAAAAACCAAAAAGACATCGCTTTTTGAAGCTTCCCCAAATAAACAGTTTTGGCTGGGTCACCATACAGTGACTGCTGAGTCCTATCTCCCCACTTCAGAGTCTTCATTCTGCTTTTTTTTTAGGTCCTTCACTCTTAAATATAAACAAATGACCTAAGATCATAGTAGGAGCAAAGTACTTAAAATTTCTTTTCCCCAAGAAAATCCCCCAGCACTGAAGAGCCTAAGTTTCTGGACTGAAGGGGCCTACTCAGTGGCCAGCACTACAGGCGGGGTTAATGGAAGGAGGACAACCCCTCGGAGTAGCACAACCACATATTATTACATTTATGTGTTTATTTTCCTCAGGAAATTACTTAGCATTTTCTCCTTCCAATATAACGTGTGGTTGTTGCTGAGAACCCGCACATGTGAAAATCTCTTCCCTATACCCTCACTGCCTGCCTGCTCGTCTGGGTTGGAAAGAATATGCCTTCAGGAAATAAAGGTCCTTTTAATTCTGTATCCAAGACAGGGAGGAGGTGGAGTGAATCCCCAGGATGTTGACCATGGACCAACACTTGGAGGTGACCAGTCCAGATGGAGCAGGGTCGACACATGTAGAAGAGACTCCATCAGGAAAAGAAAAGTTCATGTAACAACTGATATTCACATAAATATCTTGACATGAGATTTAGACAACCAGCAAAGGACTGAAGGCTAACTAGTGATCACTGTATATAAGACCAACAAAAGGCCAACCACTAAATCCATAGAAGACAGAGGCTGAAGGGACGGTAATCACAGATGGCCACCTGACTCCATCTGGAACAGGAAGAGCACGTGCACAGACCCGATGAGGTAAGTGCTGGTGCTGACAGTCCCAAACTGCAACAGAACTTACCAGGAGGGAAGGTCATCAAAAGATGAAAGATGGTTGGCCTGACATTAATTCATTCATTCATTCATGAGAGATACACAGAGACGCAGAGACACAGGCGGACAGAGAAGCAGGATCCTTGCAGGGAGCCCAATAGGGAATTGATCCCTGGACCCCAGGATCATACCCTGAGCCGGAGGCAGATACTCAACTGCTGAGCCACCCAGGCATCCCTGGCCTGACATTTAAAAGTCACAAAGGAGCACTGTGGGCAACTGTAATCTGCTTTACACCACAATAGTCTGCTAAAAGGGCAAAAGTGCTCATCTTAGGACAGGTGAAAATGGGGGAGAAGGGAGAGAGAGCCGACATTCCTAACAAAGCATGGAGAAATACTTAGTTTTTAAGACCATGTGGTTTAAAACTAATAAAAGCCAAAAACAATCTTTAGTTGGTACTAAAAAACATTAAAAAGAGTATTTGGAATGTTAAAGCTGATCTGATCCAACCCAGTGTCATTGCATGGCTCTATCTTCTCCCTAGAGAGATGAATTATTACTTTAAAGTATACCCTTCACGGTATCGAATAAACCTGCAGGCTAAGACACCTCTCCTGTGCACAGCCCAGGTGAGAGTACACTTGACCTAGAGATGTCGTGCAGGACCACACACAACTGAGCTGCTGCAGAACCCAAGAGAAGGACATTCAAACAAGACTCCAAGGCAACAGTGAAAAACTGGTAGAAAAGGCCAACGGCTAGGAAATGACACTTATAAGAAAAATGGCTCAAATCCTTTCAAATCCAATGAATCACCAGGTGCCAAGCCTGTGTACATGGGGAGTTCAATACGGATTTGTTGAAAGAAATGAATGAATCAAGTCTTAATTAGAATTAATATCACCAAGTGTTTAAGTTTGGATAAGGTCCAGATAATGCTTCTTGACACTAGATAATGGGTCCCTTTGCACTGTGGGTCCAGCATCAATAAGGTCTGCAGTACACACCTTATTACACTCTAACGATGTTATCAGTGGCAGCAATATTCGGGAGCAGATATTGGTGTCTGCCTCCAAGAAATTCCAGTTGGGGCCAAAGCAGAACTAAAGCATACTGGCTTTCAAATCAGAAGTCATCAGAGCTATTACAAATCTTGAGGGTTTGAAGAATTGAGTTCAAAGGCAAAACTAACCAACTGCTGAGAGACGGAACAATTCTTTCAAGTATTCTTTGCATTATGAAGGGTTCTTCCCTTAACTTGCAAGTGGTCTTTAAGGTCTTCGTTTTTAATTAGATAACAACGTTAAACAACAAGTCATATAAACTTTGTCTAATAATAGCCTCAGATTTCTAGAAAACTATACACAAGTATTTCTAGAAAGAAAGTGAGCTCTGATGATAAGGTCCAGAGCTGGGTTGGCAAGCAACTGAAAAGCATATCAGGGGCACATTTTACAAATAGCACTTTCTAGCAGAATTTTATAGGTGACATTGCTTTTACAAAGACAGCACATCCAGCTTCCAGCAGCCAGAGAGATAATGGTGTTTGATGAAGGAAGGTAAGAATTTTGAAGGTTGTCCTTCCTTATGCTGCAAGAGAAGTAGTACACAGCCTGATGGAGGATTCTTTACAGGATGATTCTATCAATGTTTTGACAAAGACTTGTAAATGCACAATCACAATTTTTCCCACTAATTATTAAGATCACTTTGCAGGTTTTCAGTTCACATAGTCATTTTTACCAGCCTGCACCCTGTGCACAGTGAGAACCATCTGTGTTATAAACCTCTGGCTGTCCCTCAACTGCAATGCAAGTCTTCAAAACAAAGGGGGTGGGAGGCAAGGACAGGATACTTTCCCCATAACTTCATGATCATCAGGGCCTTTTTAAAAAGCTCCTGAACTGAGTATACCACCCTTCACAAGTATTGAAATCACAATTGAAGTGTCTTACTCTCTGTAATATTAAGATACGTATCATTATAGATAAGGATTCGTCAGCATAAAACATAGATAGGAATGCATACGTGTGCATTCTATATCAGCCCCATGCTCTTCCTCCTGAAGCTTTAGGGCACGTAATCCAAAGATCACTCCCATTTAGCTTGTAAAACGACATTTTGAAGTTAAAACGTTACCTCTCTAGTCATCCTCAGGCTGGGCTTACAAGAAAATCAAGATGAATACTCGGAGGAGAGAGTCAACACAGCAGGAAGCACTTGTACTTCAAGCACTTTAAGATCCACACACACACTTAAACGCTCTGATGTGAATTAATTAGGAGGAGGCATAGACATAGCATGTGGATATAAATGTATATAATAAGTTTAAGTGATTATTTCAATGTTGGTATATTATTCACATAAGAAAAATGGAAGCACAAAAGTCATCTATGGATTTACATAAGGGAGGCTCTTAAAATCAGAGTTTAAATAATATATTAAAAAAACGTAATAGACCAGGATGGGAAGATGCAACCAGGATGAGGAGACAGAGGTTAAGCAGTGAGTGTATACTCCACTTAGAAATCACAGCACTGCAAAAACATCCCCTTTCTGGTTCTATCTTTGCATGTTATAGAAGAAAACACTATGCTCCAGTAAAGCCCAGGGTCACCGAGGATGACCCAACTAGTGAGCAAGAAACTAGTGAGAAATAAGACTCATCAGCCGAAGTGTGCTGGCATTATAAGAGAGTGGAACAAAAATAAACACAGAAAGAACTGGCTTATCTCATGTTTATTTACCTGGTTAGAAATCAGCAAGAGAACAGAGAAAGAATAAACAAGCAAACAAAAACCTGAGAGCATAACACAGCTAGCCCAAAGTTCCAAGGTCAGGCCCTTTACTCAGAGTCGAAGTCCGCAGGCTCCTGGGAGCTTGGATCTTTAGAACTCATTCCAGCAAAGAGCCAAACCTGAGTGATCTGCCTACCTGTCAGCTAGTCTAAGCAGATGATGAGGAAGTCTTCATATATGTGGGAAAATTAGAAAAATCTCCCCACCTTGACCATATCAAAGACATGAAACACTAACCCTTACTTATTTCATTCCATTTTCCCATTAGTAACTAAGGAACATAAACAGCAGTTACACATAAGTGTGCATACTCCTGATAATGCCAAGTCTAAATAAAAATTACTTCTCGAATTATAAACAGATCTAGTCAGAACAAAGAAAAACAATAAACAATTTAAATATTTAACAATAAAAGGATTAAATAAATTACACATCCTTAAGAGTATATATTATACGCAGCTCTCAAAACCACTTGTTATTTTATACAATCAGGACAAATATACAATATTACTCAGTATTATAGCTTATAATTTTAAGAGCAATAAGACAGGAATGAAATTCACTAACATATTAGTGATGTCTTTTTCTGGGTAGAATTATGTAAGCGACATTCTTTATGTTCTTTTCTGTTTTCCAAACTTCCCCTATTGAGCATATATCATTTGACAAGCAGGGGGGAAAAAGCTACATCTCGGAAAATATTCCGAGAAGAAAGAAAGAAGATAATTATAAGTTACTAAGAAAATACAGAAACAACTTAGCAATATCTTCACTGCCTTACAAAATCTTACCTTAACTTTCTTTTTCCAGGTAGATTTTTGCTTCTCCTCCTCTTCCTCAATTAATTTAAGTGCCAGTTCTTTGTTAACTTTTGGCAGTTTCTAGCAGAAGAAAAAAAAGGTGTACTAAGTACCTAGATTTTAGCTTTAAAAGTTAATAGTTCTATAAGGAGTACAGTTTCACAAACAAGAGATTTCTTTCTTTCTCTTTCTTATTTATCTATTTTTAAAGTAGGTTCCACTCCCAGCGTGGAGCCCAATGTGGGCCCAAACTCACGACCCCGAGATCAAGACTCATGCTAAGATCAAGAGTCAGATGCATAATTGACTGAGTCACCCAGGCGCCCTCTGATTCTTACTTTTAACATTTCACAATCCCCAGAGTAGGAAATAACGTGGACACATGCGATGTTATCAGGCGGGCACAAGGAGACACAAAGTTCAGCCAGGAATACCTGCCCTCACCTGGCCTCTCCCTGGTGCATGGAGAAACATGCACCTGCTTAGGGGGCGGCTTGGCTGGGGGCAGTGTCACAGGGCCACGCCCCTCACCGGGGGCTGGAAGCCAACAGGCCTGCTATGGCAGCCCCTGGCTGGGGCTTGGGGAACCCTTGAGATGTTACTAATAATGCTACGTGCACTCTGCTGCTCTTGAAATAGCACATTTCTTAGAGGAATTCTCAGTGGGAGTCTTGACGACTCTCAGGATCAAGTTGTGAGTTCTTTTTTGTCCTTTTCCACCTTAGGGTTTCTGTTCCACTGTAGAATACAACTCTGACAAGTAATGCAAAGAATGGGACACGAGTACCCCACAGCCCAGTATCCCCCTTGCCAACACACACACATTCAGCACTCCTAGAAAACAATCTACAAAGAGGGAAAAACAGTCACTAGTCTTTGGTACTGAGTGTTGCGTATATATGTATATTTATGTGCACATGTATGTACTTATGTACATGTGTATTTATTTATTGCCAACATTTAGTTAGAAATGAGTGTGTCACCTCGTGGTGAATGTAACCAAGGAGGGCTGCCAGAAAGACCGGGATGCAGGGGGGACCTGGCTTCCCTGTCGGCCTGCTGTTGGGCTGGCACAAGTCAGCAGCTCTTCACTCTGGCAGCAAGCAGGTGGTTCCAGCAGCGTGGGTTTCAGTGTGCCGTCTTCTGACACTCCCAGGAGCAGACTTGCTCTAACCTCAGGATGCCAGCACAGGCTGCAGCCTCCTCAGAGGCTGGGTCCCAGCAGTGGCCATAGGCCAGCTCCACCAGGGCTGCCTCCTCCCCACTGCCCAGCCCTGAGGCCCTAGCTGCTTCCTACAGCCTCATCTCTTATAGCTGTCCTTATGTTTTTCGCCTTAGTTCTCTAACACTTGGCTAACAATTCCTTACATTAAAATTCTCTTCTAGAACTAGGTGATCTGATTCCTATCTGGATCCTGACATAGTCTAATGACCATGATCCAAGTCCAGATGGCCTCCGATACTGCCAAACGTCAGAAAGAAATGGGGATTATCGAAGTCTCAACACTCCAAACACTGAAAACCTGTCTGAAAATTCCATCACATTTTCTTAGAAGGGCTGATAATGTCAGTCCCTCTGGTATTATTTCCCAATATCGTTACCATAGAATCCATAATGTCCAAGCTGTAAAGAGTATCTGCCCTCATGACCAATAAAATATACCAAACTATTAGGAAAAGATGTAAACTAAAAATGGGAAAACAAAGAAATAGATGGCTGGTTTCTCTGGAGTAACATACAAAATGAAAATGTAGTACTTTTCTGGTCAACTCTGTAGTGAGCACAACAGCTACCTTTAATTGGACTCTCTGTGCACGGGTTTCTTCTATTTTCTGGCGGATCTTATCTTTCCTGTATTCTTCATAAGCAAATGGATTTACCATCAATTTCACCTTTCAAAGAGGAAAAACAAGTTAAAAAATAAAGGCATATTTATTTTATTTTTTTTTAATTTTTATTTATTTATGATAGTCACACACACACACACACACACACACACACACAGAGAGAGAGAGAGAGAGAGAGAGAGAGAGAGGCAGAGACACAGGCAGAGGGAGAAGCAGGCTCCATGCACCGGGAGCCCGACGTGGGATTCGATCCCGGGTCTCCAGGATCGCGCCCTGGGTCAAAGGCAGGCGCCAAACCGCTGCGCCACCCAGGGATCCCTAAAGGCATATTTAATAGCATGTTTCATCTACACCATGACTATTCTGCTAAAGGACAGAAGTATCTTACAAATCATAAATATGTTCTACAAAATCCAAGTAAATAGAGAAGAAATGGCTCATTAATCACCTAAAGTAAGTATAGTCTTCTACTTACCTTGTGATAGAGTCTTATGTCCATGAAAAACCCATGCATATATGCCCGGAGAAAAGGTGACCCAATGAGATGTGTGAGCCCTGGAGGAAGTTAATCAAAAGAGGGAAGTTAATCATAATCCTTATGAAATCTTGATTAAAATTGAACAGTTTTTCTTGCATTATACTAAGATTTCACTTCTGATTTAACTGTAAGATTTCACTTTGGAGTAAAACTCCAAGGACTGGAACCACTAATCTTCACAAACCATGGTGAAAAATTAATTCACCTTAAGCAGTGTCACCCTTGTTTTTTTTTGAAGGAATGGGAATTCCCTTTTTTTTTTTTTAAGATTTTTATTTATTTATTCATGAGAGACACACAGAGAGAGAGAAAGAGAGAGGCAGAGACACAGGCAGAGGGAGAAGCAGGTTCCATGCAGGAAGCCTGATGTGGGACTCAACCCCGGGTCTCCAGGATCAGGCCCTGGGCTGAAAGCGGCGCTAAACCACCGAGCCTCCCAGGCTGCCCACCCTTGTTTATTTTAAAGGTCTTATTAAGCATAAAAATGATGAAAAAGTCTTAATGAACTATGAAAGACTGGCAAAGAAGATTTCTTTATACTATTGTTTCTCAGATTTTTAGATTCTGTGCACCAGTTTAATCTAAAAAATATTGGCATCAACAGTGATTTGCCAACTTTGTACCACCAGGTAGTGGTGGCAGGGAGTCGGGGGCTAATCTCCCATAATTTCTAGACCAAAGTATGCTATCACTGTAAGGTAGGAAGGGCATGCTCTTTCCCATTATTATTCTTGTTTTATAGATGAGAAAACCAAGGCTTAAGGAGGTTAAGCAACTGGCCAAGTCATGCAGATGTTAAGCAGAGACATGGGATGCATATCAGTCTCCCTCTAATGCCCATAGTGCTAGCCACTGCATGCTCCATCCAGCATTCCAGCACAAGAAATACTCCACGAAACATGCTTTGGGAAACACTATCCTTTTAACTGCCTTCCTCACCCAAGATGAACATAGTAAAAGAGACTAAACAAGTGCCCCCAATGAACTAAACATAGTATTCTTTAAAACTCTGCAAGATAGCAGTGACTTTTCCCCTCCAATTTAAGAATGGTGAGTGTGACACAGCATAGTATAAAAGTCACACTCGAGATATTCAGGAAGGCAAGTCAGTAGGAAGATCCCACCTCACCGTATTTCAAATCAGCATTTTTAAAAGGCTGACTACATGTCTTTTCTCTTTAAACATTAAAATGTAAAGAGCTGTTTTGGCGAAACTGGTGGAAAATTAATTGTGCTATGAAACAGAACTGTGTCATAAATACACTGAGAGGCTCTTAAATTTATTTTCTTTCAACACTGAACTGTTGCTGTACATCTATCTGTGCCGCAGACAACTAAGCTGCGTCGACTCCTGGAGAAGGGGTCCTCGGACTTTGCCCACTGTCCAACATTTCCTGTGCTGCAGCCGTTCTCAAACAACAGAACTAGATCAGCAAAGTCTCCTCTCCTTATCCATCTTCTCCCAGGTGCTGAAGTAGTACCCATCACCTGAGACACACGCTCTCTTCCGCCCGGTCAGCAAGGCTAGGTGAAGCACAGGCATTCTAGGTGTAAACCCCAACCCCTGTGTCCATGACGACTGAAGTCTTTGGTAAGTTAGTTTCACCTTTAGGGCCTCAGTTTCCTTATCTATAAAACGGCATCATAACTATATCCACTCCATGGAGTGGTGAGGTTTAAGCGTTGTATGTAAACATTCAGAATATTACGTGGCACATGATAAGCCCCACAAGTGTTGTCTATTGGTAAAAGGCATTGCTTGGTCTTTAAGGTTCTACATAACTGAGGATTGATCAAGTTTCTAAGTTTTAGATGGGGTCTTCTATAAGCAAACGTAAAAGGGAGCCAAAAATTATTTATGTGTAGTTTCTGAGATATCTTCAAAACCTTATACTCAAATAGTACTTGAAAAAAGTCGCTGCTTTCTTGCAAAAAATCAGCGATTTTTTTCTATACATAGCTAATAGGCTAAAGAAAATTATTCCTCACTTAGGATACAAAAAAGCTTCAGTAGGTTGGATTTATCTGAACCTTTCTCTAAGCAGAGATTACAAACCTGGCAAAATAAATAGTATGTTTAATATCTCATCTGGCAGAAAGAGAAGATTTGGAAAATCAGAAAAATGTGACTCTAGCTAATGTTCAAAGTTGACCCTCCCCCACAAAAAATTTAAAAATTTTTTATCATAATTTTTTTACCTAAATTTTCAAGGTCTTTCTTGGTGACAAATTTGTAATCATCGTAGACTGTGCTTTCCGGATTCTCTTCTAATTCTTCTGTCAAGTTGTCTAGGAAGGAACACCACCTGGGAGCAGGACCCAAAACCTACCAGTGTTGATCAACAGGTTAGATGTGTACATTCTTACCACCTCAACTAAGAGTTATTTTACCACCAGATTTTCTTACAATAACTTAAAAATCCTTGTTCCTATCAGAAGTATTGAAAAATAACTATAATATGCATAACCAACAAGTGTAAAATGGAAGAGAATAAAGTAGGAAAAATTTAGGCTTGTAAGGGAAAAATATCAGTCTAGAATACAAAGATATTAATGAATGCTTTTATTAGCGCTACCAAAATACAAATAAATCAGGTACTTAAAAATAACATCCACCATTTTATCTATCACTTCTTTCATTCAAAAGAGTACTAAAATCTACAAAAACATATTTAGCATAAAATATATTTTTTTTAAGATTGCTGTTCATGACGAAGTCTAAAATGAGAATTATCTTCTTTTTAGGGGTTTTCAACTAATTATTTGATAATTATATTTGTTTCTGTGTGGTCCACTTCATTTAATTCATTAAAAATTAAATTCTGTATATAGACTCCTTTAGACTTAACCTAAAATGGGTCACTCACCCATTGTTAGTTCCAACAATAGGCTGAGGAATAAAAGTTGAACAGAATTTATAGCTAACTAAGAAAATATTAAGAGTTCAATTTATAATCCAACTACTTCCATAAAACTCAATGGCTGCTTTTTACTTTTTTGCTATTGATACAAATCTCTCCCAGCACAATGCCTCATCCACTGGGGTCAAAGCTTACCCCAAAGGAAGCAATGCTGCTCAGAGGGAAGGCCATGTTGCTGAAAGCCTCACTGAACTGGAGGTTTTCCGAAGGACCAACCCTGGGCTCTGACAAAATGGAACTTCCCATGACTACTTCCCTGTGTACTGTGATAGTAATCAATTAAACGGGAGGAAAACAAAAATCATAATGGAAATTATTAAATCTAGCTTAAATTTTTTAGAGAAGGGAAGGGGGAGGAGGAAGAGAATTATAACAAAGAAAAACAGTGCCTAATACCATCTCCAATAAAAACTATAAATGTTCGACATGGCCATACTAATGTAGTATTAATTATTGTGCCTGATTAGAAAGGGTGACCCCCCAGGCCCCAAAGGGTATGGCACTCTTGAACATGAAAAACAGTGCTTAATGAGCATAAAAGGAACCCTTAACAAGAAGTTTCATACTAGCATGACTTACAGAATTTTTTAAAGTAAATGTTTTGATGTACTAAGTGGTTTGACTCTAACCATAAAAGACAAACCTTCAAGAAATGCAAGGCATTAAAGATTCAATGTAGAACACTTTTTAAAGAAACTGCTATGTTTTTAAGCAATTTTAGGACAGTGGCTGGATGTCACAAACACTAATAAGTCTACTACACAGAAAGCACTACACTAAACCAAAGTCACTGCCCATGATCTCTCTGAAGGAGTTTAAAATATAGCTGGAAGAGAATATTGAGTGGAGCACATGTGCACACCCAACGAATCATGTAAAGCAACAAACAGATGCCCTGAGTCTCTAGGGAAGACAGGTGAGAGCTGGAACAAATGGCAGGAACATCGAAAAGCACGTCTGGAGGGTATCTGGGTTGGAGTGAACTCATGAGCAAGCAGGGAAAAATCACAGGGTCCCTTCTGAGAGTGACAGCTCGGGCAGTCACAGGGTATCTGCTTCTCATCCGTCACAGGGCAAACGCAAAGCTCTGCCATACACTGAAGTAGTGCTAAGACGGCAGCTTCCTCCTCTTTCAGACAGAAAGTAAGTACACTACAGTCACTTTTCTTGAATATAATATCCAAAATACTGTCCTCGTGGGAGGGCAGGAACTTCCTCTGTTCTAAATGCTGAATCTCCAGTACCTAGAACACTGCCTGCCAAGTCGCATGTTTTCAATACTATTTCACAAATACCTTGATTGGTACATAGTGTATGGATGCATTCGTGAATTCCACATAGCACAAAGTACTAAGACTTTAAAGGGTCCTACTTGGCAAAAGTATTTTTCTAGGTTGTTTAATTTTCCTTATTCAGATAAAAACACTCAAGTATCTCACCATAAAACTACTGGATATAAAGAACATTTGGTGAAAGTCAGACCATTTTGCCTTGCAGGCGAGGGGGCAATGGTGGCCAAAAGACCTCATAATAAGACAGTTTCACTTTTAAAAACCTTCCATCAGTGATAAGTCGCTGGCTTCCAAGACAAGATTATATTGTGTTTACTGACTTTTCTTGGGGGTGAAGAGCAGGAGTATCAAAATATCAGGCCAGATCTGAACTGACTTTCACAAAAGTCCTTTTTTATAATGTTCCACAACACTCATCTTGATTAGTTAACTGGATTCTAGTGGTATTGTTTTAAACTGCCTCTCAGGGGACAGGTCTGGTTACGGTAAATAAACTCTGCAATCAAACTCATGGCCATTAAATTTTACAGGAGGAAATATTTCCATCAAAAACAAAATTAAATCTAGTGGGTTGATTTTATTAATCACATTTCCCTAGTTCCTCTTCAGGAAAAAAAAAAGAAACAACAGAACAACCATAACAAAGTTGAAATTACTGATTTAACTGGCATTAAACTGCAGGTTTTATCTACATTCCAGATTTCCCCAAAGGCCTAGCATTAGGTTGCAAAAGCAGTGGTCAGCTTAACCAATAAGGAGCCCCTCGCACAGCTCTCTGAGGTAACTATAATGACCACAATATTAATTAATGTATAAAAAGTCCTTGTTGTCCTCACTCATAAAATATGTTAAACCTTCAATTAATCTTAAAAATATGTTAATTTACTTCCTAAATTTCAGGCTTTACAACTTGAAGGAAACATCCTTTCTAACTACGGGTGTACTATTACTAGTCTATCAAAAGCTTCTAGGTTTTCTGTATTGTCATCACATTGCTTATTCTGTATTTCGGCCACAACTGCTTATTGCTCCTTTATCTACATTTTTATTTACCTTAAGGTTTTGTTTGTTTCAGAAAATTAGTGGAGACTGTTCTATTTTAAACTTCTACTATCTATTCATGAACTGCTTTTAATTTATAAGAATTTCCTAAAGTCAGTCAGCCCAGCAGTGAATTGGAAACGGATTCAACCAACTGCTAATGAAGGGATACTGTGGGCCTCTTGGCAACTTTAATGACCACCATACCAGCCAATCTGGGTGGAAATACGTGGTCCTACCACATGGGAAAGAACCTTTATCAACATTCCCAGGAACGCCTCAACAACAATGCAGCCAAATATTTGCTTGCTCTAATCCATCTGAGCAGAACTGGTTTTAAAATACATGAAAAATACATAGTATGTGCCCGTGATCTTCTGCCTTTATGGTTATAAACTGCCTTTAAGGTGTTACTTATATAGGTTTAATTTTAAAACCCAAAGTTCTGGGACGCATGGGTGGCTGAGTGGTTGGGCGTCTGCCTTTGGCTCAGGTTGTGACCCCAGGGTCCTGGGATGGAGTCCTGCATCAGGCTCCCCGGAAGGAGCCTGCTTCTCTCTCTGCCTATGTCTCTGCCCCTCTCTCTGTGTTTCTCTCATGAATAAAATGAGCCAAGTCTTTTAAAAAGCAAAAACAAAAACCCAAAGTTGTAAAAAATAAAACCCAAAGTTCTCATATATTCAGGCAGTGGACAGAAATGACAGAGTGGGGAGAAAAGAGGATGAATTAAAATCCTTCTGGAGTCCACAGAAGAGGGTGGCCCTCCCACTACTCTACTTTTAAAACATCACTGTGCTGCAGCCTGAGCTGGGCTGGGGTAGAAATAAAGAATGAGGATTTACTAAAGGGATGGTTTTAACAAATCAAGGACAATTAAAATAACAACGAAGTATTATTCATATTATTAGAAACAAAGAACCAAACTACTATGTCAGTATAAATCTCATCATTTCTTCCATTTACTCATAATGCTACTGAACACAATCAAATAATCTCATTATCTTCCTATCAATGTTAAAAAAATAACTGATAACATAGAACATCAATTAAATTTTATATTATCTTTCTTGAGTTTTTATTTAAATTCCACTTAGTTGGGGACTCCTGGGTGGCTCAGTGGTTGAGAGTCTGCCTTTGGCTCAGGGCATGATCCCAGTGTCCTGGGATCAAGTCCCACATCGGGCTTCCTGCATGGAGCCTGCTTCTCCCTCTGCTTATGTCCCTGCTTCTCTGTGTGTGTGTGTGTCTCATGAATAAATAAATAAAATCTTAAATAAATAAATAAATAAATTCCACTTAGTTAACATACAGTGTAATATCAATTTCAGGTGTACAATATAGTGATTTAACACTTCCATACATCATCTGGTGTTCATTACAAGCACTCTCCTTCATCCCCATCACCTATCTAGCCCACCCCACCTCAACTGTAACCATCAGTTTGTTCTCTGTAGTTAAGAGTTGGTTTCTTGGTTTGCCTCTTCCCCCGACTCCCCTGTTTTGTGTCTTAAATTCCACACATGAGTGAAATCATATGGTCTTTTTCTGACTGACATTTTGTTTTGCATAAGACACTCTAGATCATTTACATCACTGCAAATGGCAAGATTTCATTCTTTTTGATAGCGGAGTAATAATAATGGCATTATATATATATATATGTATTATTTTACATATATATACACACACACACACCCCATACCTTCTTTACCCATTCATCAGTCAACAGACACTTGGGCTCTTTCCATAATTGGCTATTGTTGATAATGCTGCTATAAATATCGAGGTACACATGTCCCTTTCAAATCACTATTTTTGTATCCTTTGGGTAAATACCTAGTAATGCAATCGCTGGATCCCAGGGTAGCTCTATTTTTAGCATTCTGAGGACCCTCCATACTGTTCTCCACAGTGGCTACACCCAGTTTGCATTCCCACCAACAGTGTAAGAGGATTGTCCTTTCTTCACATCCTTGCCAACACCTGTTGTTTCCTGTGCTATTAATTTTAGCCATTCTGACAGGTGTGAGGTACTATCTCATTGTAGTTTTGATTTGTATTTCCCTACAATT